TTAGGACAAATGAGTACAAATTTTAGTAAGTAGAAGAGATTATTGTTTTCTATATTTATTTACTTACTGTTCTATGTTTTAAAAAAAATAATTGAAATTTAAGAATTTATTTGTAAATAGTAATAATATATATGACATATAATATGTAATATATTATAACTGAAATGTGATTGTATTCTACAAAATACTGGTCCACTAGAACAAAGCCAAGACAGTTTCACTTTATAAAGGCCAGTTTTATACTATTGGTTATAGTAACATAAAGCTGCCCGTGTCTGCATACAACTTCTGTAAAATTAGTCAGACACAGCTGAAAGGTTAATAAAGTAAAAATAATAAATGTATATAGATGTATAATGTTACGAGATCTAAGCTATTTAGAATAAACATTTGTGTTTTTGTGTTATAACTTGCAATTATTCTAGAACGAAAAAAAAGAGTAATTTAGATCTATTTCCTTCTTTTTTATGGTGGTTACAAGGTTGGTCAAATTGACCAAACCCATAAAGAGATAAGATAGAGAAAATAACATACAAAATATACTTTTTCCTAAAAAAAAAAGTTTAATAATTATCTGGAGGTTAGAGATTTCACATGTGGAATTTGGAAATTTTCTGATGCATAAAGTATTTTTAACCTGAAAATCAAAATTGCTTTGCATGTTGGATAGTCAACATTTGAAAAGAAAAAATGCATGAACAAATCATTAGTCAAAAAATTTGATATTTTGTGTATGAAATGTTTATTGATAATATGCAACCTTTCGTGAAGATGTGTGCACATTTTAAAAAGTTACAGCCTGACTGCTTTATGGTTACTTTGATGGAAACAGGCTGGGTGGAATCCACCCAGACCATAGTCAATAAATTAGTATGTGGAATAAATGTCAGCTTATGGTTAAAGAGAAGTCCCAAGAGCTTTGTCTCAGCCACCACCAAATTAGAGTCCAGTGATTTAGTGCATGACCGAATAATAGTCTAGCACCTTTGTACCAATGGAGAGGGGCCTGAGCAAACACTGGATGCAGAAGTTGGGACAGAGACTGGATTACTTATTTTAAATCTTTTTTTTTTTTACTATCCATAATAAGATGAAAAAGATTTGGTATCCATTGACTCCACCCACCATGGACTCCTACAAGGGAATGTACTACACCATCAAACAAGAACAGTGCAGCTACGCTAAGCCAGGGGTTTATGGTAACTATACCTAAATACCAGCATCAGACACAATGTTCACAACACTTATTTAGAATATCCAGCAGCCAAATGACCTGGTTGGGGGGCACCCTAGGACAACAGATTTACAGAAATTCAAGGCCAAAGTGGTGTGATACAGTGCCTCTAACACCCCCCCCCAAAAAAAAACACCAAGATTCTTGCCATCAAGAGACACGACACACAGCAAACATGTGGGTGAATGTTCGGATCCCAGATAATGTAAATTGTACAAACAAACTTCTCAAAAATGAATGAGGTCACGAGATAGGAGGAAATATGGAGTAATAATCACGTAAGTTCAGCTTATCAAAATAAGCCATGCATGACTACTCTTAGGAATTTTTGTGTCCCCCCCCATACTTTCTCTAATTATATGTGATAGCAAAAATACATAAGATTGAATACCAATGGAAATAAAAACAATACTTATTTTAATAAAGCAAGTGTAATATATTTAAACAAATAATAACACTAAAATTTTATAAAATTCTATTATTTTCGACAAGTTGAGAAAATATGAAGTTTGACTACGTGTAAGGTTGATGTTGATTGACTGATTTATTATATAATTATTGAGATGGGTTGATCTCTTTCTCTCTCTTGAAACAAATGCTTACTATTGAAATATTGATATTATTTCAAAAATATGTTGCTATCAGTTGACATTTTTTCCAGAAGGGAATTTCTTAGAGCTATGCAAAGAAATATGATTGAAAAGAAAGAGAAAGTTTTATTGGAAAGCGATGCTAAGAAGTAAAATGTTAGCTACACTGAATATCCTTTATTAGCTTTTCATCAGTGAAGTGACAGTTTTATACTAACATTTCGTTTCTCATCTAACTAAACAAAACCATGTGTAGTTGTGGAAAACGTTTTTTTTTTACTCGCAAGATAGAAATTGATGTATATTTTCAGCAAAAATCATATACCCAGTGTGAGAAATGTAATAGTGAACGGTGATGTTCTATAAATCTTTGTTAGCTTTTGTCATGTTTTTTTTATGACATATAACCAGAATTGGTGACTACTGCAATTAGAAACATAATGTAACAAAATAATATGTCAATGGCAATCAAATTGAAACTGATTGAATATAAAAAAAATTGAACTTTTAGGTCAACAATGACAAAAATTAAATTATAAAATGAAAGGAAGTATTTTGAAAATCTTTTGAAAGAAGTGTCTCAAGAAAATTTGAGAAACTTCACAACCTAAAAAAAGGAGTACTAAATTAAATTACATGAACTTGTTAAGCTGAAAATAGATGCTATTTATTAAGTTTGTAATATATTTCATGCAATTTTCTTAAGTAATTCCACTAAAAAAGAAAGGATATATTAGTGACATCCCTCCAGTGCAGAAAGTGTTAACCTTTTCTAGTTTTGTAGCATTATTTTGGCTACTGCTGCATTTGCAACCATACAGATCAATAAATAAAAAAAAACTACTGAAACAACATTTGAAACATAAAACATGATAACTATTGAATGTTTTTAAATCTCAATTATATTGTTTTGATAAAGTTACAATTCATAATGAAACAAAAACCACTAAGTGAGGTTTTAGCTGTATGCTATGCCTTTATGCAACATCCCCAGGTTTTACACATATTCATTGGCAAACTACTAACACAGGCTTAATGATGTCTATTTGTTAATAGAAATTTTGTTACGAAATCTTCTGCATATTGTTACAACTAATATTAATACAGTATTTATCTTACTATACTTTGTTTAAAATACTTACTTCTATAATGTTTTTAGAAATTATATACAATTGTTTCAAAAAGACTCCTACTAATATCCAAGACCACCATAAAATAACAGTTTCAAATTGTAAGCACGTTTTTTACAATGAAAAGTGACTTCCAGAGTACTGTCTTTAATAGATTAAACAACAAAACATGAGAAACAATAAAATTGTTATCATTAAGTACAATATAAAAACAAAGCCACGATATAATTGGATTACTTGAAGGTTTGTAATCAATGAAGCCTTCTGAAATAACTGTTTAGAAAATAATCCATATAAGAAAGGGAGCTTATGGCAAATAGGTTGTGAGGAAGAAAATAGTTCTATCTTTCAGAAGATATGATTTTGTTGCTTTAGAAGCTTGGTAGTTGTAAAATAAAAAATGCACCAAGTTGAATTTTACAGTTTTTGACACCATCAACTCTAAAAATTCACAATTTTCAAATTATTTGGGCTAGTAATAAGCAATAAGCATTCACAAAGAATGCAGACTTGAAGCTTTGTTTTAGTCGATGAGAAGCTTTAACTATGCAAACAGGAAATTTCAACATTTCTACTCCCCAAATAAAAACTACAAATGGGACATAAATCCAAGTTAAGAGTTAGCAGTTTGGATTACTTTATCCAAAACAAATATTCATAAAATACATGTCAAAATAAAATTTCATCACTTCAGTTATGGTATAATTTTGTTGGTGATTTGGGGATAAAAATCAGACAATATTATAATACTGAATAATGCCATTTATGTTTGCAAAAAATCACAAATTACTGAGTTGAAAGGGGTTAATATGTCTTTTCTAAGTATCGTTCTTAAACTAAATTCAACACCTTCTCAGTCATAATCGTGTGTGTGTGTGTGTGTGTGTGTGTAGTAATATATATACATACACACACATATGTATATAATGGTTTGAAAAAGGTTTTAGATATTTGTTCATAGTGTAAGTCTATTAGAATAAAAGACTTTACCTGCGAGCACCACCTCCATATCTACGTGAATTAGAGGCTCTCTGTTCTGTCTGAACTTCTTTGGCTAATGCAGCTAGCCAGTCTGGCAACTCCTGTTTTGTTTCTGTGATAAGCTCCACTAAATCCAGGGCCATATTTCGGTTCTTTTCATTGAAAAATGAAGTTGCCAAGCCTATCAAGTGAAAGTTTAAGAAGCATTCATTATTTAACATATTGCACGATGAATAACATGATGGAAAAAAACTATACTGAACCACAAGAAGTGTTAAGTTCTTTTTAACTTTTATAAATCAAATCTTTACACATGGTAACATTAACAACATAACAAAACTTAATATTCAGTACTTAATACTTCTAACTCTCAAGTATACATTTGGTTTAGCTGTTTTTCTTTGAAGTTATAAAAACACAGATCTGTTATTACTCTACATGATAGTATACAACTGTTTAGATTCATTACATTTTACAACTATACTTTTTCACATTGTTCAAGAATATCCTGTACTTAGCATGAGAGCTGCTACACCTGAATATGAATGACTTACCTAGGTTTCCTACTCTTCCAGTTCGACCAATACGATGAACATATTCTTCAACATCACTTGGAAGGTCAAAGTTGATCACATGTTTCACATTAGGGATGTCCAAACCTCTAGCAGCAACCTGTACAAAATTAGATACTAATTGTTAATGACACAACCACATAATGCACAAAATTTCAAACTGAATTGGCAATTATACAGTATATCCCTATTAACCCTATCACGATGAGTCATGTGTCAAAAGCCATGTCATCTTGTCTGTTGACTTGCATTCAAAATGTTCTTTCAGAATGTTTACTATCCAATGTGCAAAGCAATTATGATTTTAAAATCAAAAATGCTTTAATGCATTAGAACATTTTCAAATTTCACATGTGAAATCTTTATAATCTCCAGATAATCATCAAAGATTTAGTAGGAAAAAAACTTTATATTTTGTATTTTTCACTACTGTATTTTTGAATGGTTGGTTCGATTTGGCCAACTTTGTAACCTCAATAAAAAATTAGGAAAAAATATAAATTATGCTATTTTTGTTCTAGAATGACTACAAATTATAACACAAAAACACAGATTTTTAGTCTAAATAGCTTAATTCTCCTAACATAACAATACAGAAGTTACAATGATGCGGTGTCTATGTGCACTTGTGTTACTGTATCCAATAATATATAACTGACCTTTAGTCTTTACAAAGTGACCTGTCTTGGCTGTGTTGTAGTGGACTAGTATTTTGTAAAATACAGTCACATTTCAATTATTACACATTACATATGTATATACGTTAGTACTATTCAGGAATAAGTTTTTAAACTTATACAAGAGTAAATAAAGAAGTAGAGCAAACAATTATCTCCTCTAGTTACGACCTTTGTACTCATTTGCCGCTTGTTGTAGGTTGCTAAGCCTTAGGAAATTTCCCATGTGGAGGATGTGAAAAGAACATTTTTTTTAGGTTTTATATATACATTGTAAATAACCAAAAAATCATTCATAAAATTGTGGTTCAATAAAAAGATTTACGAGAAAATCTTTAATTAAAAATCTTAATACTTTATTTCAAAAATCTGATATTTTGTGTACGAAACTTTGTAATGTTTACCAATAACCTGCAAAATTTTGTAAAGATGAGCAAACATTATGAAAAATCATAGTATAATTACTCTCTTGGATACTTTCATGGTTACAAGCTGGGTGGATTCCACCCAGCCCGTAATGGAAAGGGTTAAGGTGGATAATGTACTGTGTGGGCTGGATAAAGTTGATGAAGTGTAATTTTTCATCCGTTTTATCAATGTCATAACACATCAGAATTAGGGTAATTTTATTTTTCAATTTCACTATCATATATTATTAATTATTATACTTTTGAGATAGCCTTTCCATTATTCAGAAGAACTAATAAACCAGCAAACTAGTCTTATAACTGCTTCATTCATGTGATTGTTGAAATACAACCTGTAGTAATACAATTATAACAATAAGCAACATATGTTATTAATACATATGATGAATGTAACACGGGTCATCTAGATAGCTTCCTGCAGTTGTATTGATTGCGTAAATAACAAATATGGTGAAATGCTTCATTAGTCAAACACAATTAAAAAATATTCTTTTGCCCAATTTTTTGGTTACTAGCACTTGGATTAGAAGTAGCTTTCTGTCACAAATTTGTCTCAATCAGTTCTAATTTGTACTTGATTTCAATCACAATAATCATACAATCATACAGCTGTGACAGCTAGCTTTCTGTTTCAGCTTGCAAAACCACAGGAATGAGATAACAGCTAATAAACTTATTTTATTTACTATTAAATATCATATTCTGTCACTTACAGCTGTAGCTACAAGAATAGGTGTGCGACCTGATCGAAAAGACCACAATGCATCTTCTCTCTCCCGTTGAGATCTATCACCATGGATACTTGTTACTGGGTAACCTTCTTCAGCTAAAAAGTGCTCCAGTGCATCTGCACCTTTCTTGGTTTCCACAAAGGTTAAAGTCAGAGAGTCAGGAGCTATTGGGTTTTGCAACAAAAGAAAACCACTTAAAATTCAAAAACATTAAACATATTTCTTACTGTTTTTAAAGATTAGAATAATTAAGCTCAGTTATGAAATTTGTCAACAGACTAATTCAGGTTTCAAGTGTCAAGAACATCACTGCTTTAAATTTCTATTAAATAACAATTTGTTTAAAATTTAATACATGTTACAAAATTATGGTCCTTGCTGTGACTATTTAACAGCATGACATGACACAGATCTCTAACTTGTTTGAAATTCTATAGTATGAAAATAAATAGTTGAAAGTATTTGGAAAGAAAAAAATTCAATTTTTAAACATGAGTCTTTTTACATACATGATGTTAGAAAAACATGTAGGTTCAAGAAGTCTTGATAGAAATGAATAAAAACCCTATAATCTGATCACTTTTGAAAGGTAAACCTTTCTTCTTCAGGGGCAAACTGGGAAAGTGCTTGGGTTATAGGGTTTTTATTAATTTCTATCAAGTCTTTTTACATATATGTTTACAACTATTTTATAATAAAGATTTTTCTTCTATGTTTTCAGTCACAACTTTTTGAGCCAAATGAATAACTGGAAATAAGATTTCTTTCTTATTCTTACATTTTATGAAAAACTAAAGAACTGTTATGAATTATTTGAAAATGTAAAGAACAAACTTGAAAGTTCACAAGAATATATATTTATTTAACAGATAAATATACCCATTGTGAAGAGTATTAGAAAAATTCCTTGATGTTCAAGCAAAAAATAAACCTCCAAAAGAAATATGTGCATGTTATAAATCCTTTCTTACGTGGGTTAGCATTTTTTAATCCTGCTGCATTCAAGAGATCTAACAAGAAGGAACGTTTATCTAATTCATCCACCCACACTATTTTCTGAGTGATGTTTTCTGATGTGCTACCAACACGGCCAACAGCAAGAAAAATATAATTATCCAAGAACTTTCTGGCCAATTCCTAATGAACAAATAGAAAAATTTAGAAAAAAATTAAATTTTACAAAATCCTATTCAAGAAATAAATATGTTATTCACAGATATTTTGTAACTTACATATTCCATTATCAGCCGGCTTTACCAATGTGTATTGAGAATAAATGATACATGTTATATATAAACATATGTATGTTTCAAAATTTGATGTAAAGTTCATTTGAATGCAAACTAAACCTTTAAATCAAAATCTGTTAACTTTAATACTGATTTTTCCATTCACTAGTAAAAGTGTATACTGAGTTTTATCCATACTTGGGGCAAAAGGACCTGGGTAATTTAAAGTGGTAAAATAATAACAGAAATTTTAGTCCTTAGATTACCAAATGGGTATGTAATTGGGGTGTAAACATTTTCTTATGTAGTGAGTATGAGAAATGTACTAGCTTAACATTTTTTCTTTCACTATAATGACTAAATTATTACTTATTCCAAAATAGTTGTTTTATCTCATATCAATAAAACTTTCCATTCAGAAATAACTACTCTAGTCTCAGCAAAAACTATAATGTAGATTAGAAAGTGTTATAACTACAAAAGTAAATAACTAAGCATTTTAATTTACAAGTCACTAACTGCATCAAACGTGTTTGTAATATCACATTTACAAAGCATTAACCTATCATCGAAAAAAGGGTACTGGATCTTACAAAGATTTCAGTGATGAGTTATTTAATGATTTAAAAATTTTTGTATAACTAAATATAAGTTATATTAAACACATGTGCACAGATTTCATGCAAACAGAACTGCACTAGCCCTGATCTAGTACACATTGAATTCATGATAACCTGAACTCAAAATATGGTAATCCGTGATATCAGGATAGTGAATTTTTACACCTCTGGTTATATACCTATAGTTTTTGGATTAAGTCACATTTTTAATAATTGGGTACATTCTGATTCAGTGCCTTATGATAAATAATACAAATATTACAAATAGAATATCTTTTAACCCTAACACAATGATATACGAAGATTGCTAATAAATCACATAACTCTCATAAAATTTCTTTCCAAAAAATGGAAGTGAATGAAATGGCTTGAAATTTGACAAGAACTTTCTTAAAAGTATGTAGAGCCAAAAAAGTATTTTATTTTGATTTTTTCTACTATTTCAAATAAAATTTGTTATTTAATGTAGTTACTTGCACTCAGATACTGATAGTTCACCTGCAAAGTGGTTATCATTTTGAGTATAAAAATACTATTTATTACCTTACAGTTTCACATTTCATTTGTATAATCTTCAGATCCTTCTAAATTAATATCAAAAGTTTTTTTAAGGTAAATGTTTATATTGTATTTTCCACTTTCTCTACTGTATCACTAATTAGCTATTGTCATCAATGTACAGTGCAATGAAATGTTTAAAATTAAGAAATGAAAATATGTACTTACATTTTTAGAATAGTCTTAAAATATCTTCTTTGGGTCATATGCATAATTTAATGTCTTTACATTTTCACTAATAGTTTAATTTTAGTATTTTATTTTCCT